TGTTAAGTTCTTTGTCATAGGAATGAAATCTGCATTTGCTGGTCTGTAATTGGCATTTTGGAGAACAGGCAAAACAGTGAAGCATGGTTCCCTGTTGGTTTATCCAAGGTCAAGGAAAAGAATCATATTCCCAACCCCTCCAATATAATTTAAGTTCATGATCCTAATGGCTCAAACTCGTCCTAGTCAAGTTCAAACTTTGAATTTCTTACGAATATATCCATTGATGTCCTTTGGATATTTTAGGATTAAAAAATTTAAATCACAAACTGCAAAATAAATAATCAAGTACTAGGTTTTTGATCTTAATATTTGTGTCAGCCTAAGTTTACAACAGTTGAAGTGTTTGATTCTTAAAAATGTATTGAAGCTTTCTATTTGTAAAGCCTCTTTAGGTTCTATCAGACATTTGAATAAGACAAAAGCTTTGTCCTCAATGAGCTGACAAACAAATATAGAAAAACTATACTACAAGACATGGTGGAGATGCCATGAAGAAAGTTTTGGAAAATACCATGGACCTTTAGAGAAGGAAGATCACAATCTGTTTTGGGTCAGAGAAAACAACTTGAACCAAGTCATGGGGAAAAGGGAAGTGAGCAAGAAACATGTTTAGGAAACAATGAAAGACACAGCTTGGCCAGAGCCCAGTGCACAGGGAGGAAATAAGACTCCAAAGACAGGAGCCATGCTGCCTGTAAAGGGCTCTGAAGTCAGGCTGAGGACATATATGTAATAAAGCCACTGTGTGTGGCTGTGCTACAAGCAAGACTCTGCCTCTTGGGGGTGTGAAAGTAACGAATAAATTACACTGAAAGCATAGGGACAGAACATATTACTAAAGCCTGCAATAAATCAGAAAAGGGAGTAACGGGGATCTGAACCAGGTGGTCCCCAGGTGACAGTGGGAATGGAAAGGTGATGCTGCACTTAAAATCTACTGCATGTGGTAAAGGAGTTGGTATTTGGAGCAATGAAGGCAGGGGAGGGGGAGTGGGAAGCCGGTGCCACAGTTCTTAGTCTGGATGACCAGAAGAAACTAAATACCTAAGTGCCCTAACAAAAATAGGAAGTCAAGGGGAAGAACTGAGCTTTTTGTATTGTTAGTTCAGGGGAAGGCAGTGCAAGTGAGATTCTGGTCTGGACTTGTTACATTTGAGGAATCAGTTGCAAACACTTGGCACACAGAAACATCACTAGAGTACTGAAGAAGGCTCCATCCTGAGGAGATTTGAGCCCTCTCCACAGACAGGATAGTTAAAAGGAGTGTGAGTAAACAAGGCAAAAATGAAAACATAGATGGAGGCAGATTGGAGAATGACTCCATTTAGAGAATGGGGGGGGCAAATAAAACTAACTACTGATCTCAGGTAAGACAAGAAGCAAAATGTCGGAAGATGGCTCTTATCAGACATTCGCTAGAATGTCTGATCAGAGTCTCAAAAGGGAGTAGCTATCTTTAGTGTCAAACACTAAAAAGGACCCAAGAAATATAAGTATTGAGAAAAATAAAAGTCCACTGGGATGTGGCACTGAGAAGTTCTGTGATGTTTAAGAAGTCAGGAGGTAACGACTTGGAAAGGGGAGATGGCAATAGAGACGAGTCACTTATCTTAGAAGTCTTTTAAAAGATGGGAGAGTGGACTTCTCTCTCTTATTTCCAAGGCAAAGAAATACAGTAAAACTCTAATCAAATCCAGTAGTGCAAACCCACTGGAGGGGAAAAAAAAAATCCCTTATTTATTACTATTTGATGATTTCCACGGTGTGAGTACTACCACCATGGCTGATTTCAAGATGCCAATGGTTGGCAAAATTCCTGAAAATTTAGCAATAACTCTGGACCACCACTGCAAACTGCTACTCTGTGGTCTACTGTGCAACTCAGCAATTCCGTGACAGCCTTCCTCTAAACTCAATTGATACTTAATTATTCTCTGGGACAACCTTGCAGCAATTTACAGAAATCTACCCAACTCTTGTTACATATTGCTTTCTCAACCGTATTACAACTGAAAAGGGTTAGATGTTGAAAGCCAAATGGCTCCCAGGCATGCCTGTCTTCACTAAGAAGGAAACAACAAGAATTATATACTCCAAAAAGCCTTCAGGTGACCTTTTTTATAATTGTTTCCTTTGTTAATGTCATCACCCCTTATAAATCTGAGATGTCTTGATAATAGGGAACTTGATTCAAAGACCAGTTTTCCCACAATCCACTTGGCTCTTGGGATAGTTCTATTGCTGATCAACCAATTAAAAAAAATTTTTTAAGTGAGCTCTGTATCAATGAAGGATTAAGTAATGAAGTATCAGTGGAATAAGCAAAAGAAACATGAACCAAACATCCTAGTAGGCCCAATCATGGTGAGAGGCAGCAGAGATATGTGAAAGCTCCTTAGACTAAATCCAGACACCTAGGGGGCTCCAATCCATCCCTGCTACTTGCTGGTGGGATGCTAGCAGCAGTCCCAGTTGCAGTTCCACCTGAAAAATGGGAACAGTAATACCTAGCACACAGAGTCGACCTTAAGGTTTCATATGAACACATTAGGGAACACCCAGCAGGAACAGGTACTTGCTTGGTACAGTTCACAATGCCATATCAGTTTGTACACTGGACACTGATCAAGTGTATCACCAAGAGCACCAAGGAGGCCCACCTCTGACAAGGGACTGCGGCTGGTTAGCTGCTAAGGATAGTTTATAGTCTGTCCCCAGTGACCTCCTGCTATCACCCAAAATCACAAATTCCTTTCATGGTTGTGCCCCGGACTCCCAAGTCCCACAACAACATGGAGGCCAAAGAGTCCTCCTAAAAGCAATCTGAGAGCCAAAAATGTTGTGACAAAGGAGAGGGTAACAAGCTAACAGGTTCTGACTTGTATTCACACAGCCTGCAGCATCTTACATCAACAAGGAAGTTCATCAACAAACCAAAATAATGGACCTATTCATCATATAAACAAAACTCAAGAGAAGAACCTAGTTTCTAATATTTCACAACTCTTCCTCTCTGTCATCTTACCAAATACCCCTGTCTGTCATGATACTTTATATTCCCTTCTGTCATTTAGTTTTTCATATGCTAATTTCTCCTGACATCTGAAATAGAATTGTTGTCAAAATATTAAACATATATGGGGGGGGTAGCATAGAAGTTTATTTACTTTCCAATCTGAATGACTGGCCTTGAGAAATACGGCAATAATGTTCATAGCAATTTAATTTTTCCACTAATTAACTGCTACTCATCTACTGCCAAGTGCATAAAGTTACAGGTAGAAAAGAATAATACAAACAGTATATTTGTATATCAAAAAGTTTCCCATTAGAACCCTCCTAAACTGTTGATGGGAACGTAAATTGGTGCAGCCACTATGGAAAATAGTACGGAGATTACTTAAAAACCTAAAAATAGAGCTACCATATGACCCAGAAATCCCACTCCTGGGCATATATCCAGAAAAGATGAAAACTCGAATTTGAAATGATACATGCACCCCGATGTTCACAGCAGCACTATTTACAAGTGCTGGAAGACATGGAAGCAACCTAAACGTCCATCAACAGATGAATGGATAAAGAAAATGTGGTATATATATACATTGTGTGTGTATATACACACACACACACACAATGGAATATTAGCCATAAAAACTAATGAAATACGACCGTTTGCAGCAACATGGATGGACCTAGAGATTATCATACTAAGTGAACTAAATCAGAGGAAAACAACTATCACATGATACCACTTACACGTGGAATCTAAAAGAAAATGATACAGATGAACTTATTTACAAAACAGAAGCAGATTCAGATATAGAAGACAAACTTATTACCAAAAGGGAAGCAGGGGAGGGATAAATTAGGAGTTTAGGATTACCAACTACACACCACTATATATAAAATAGATAAACAACAGGACCTACTGTATGGCACAAGGAACTATATTCAATATCTTGTAATAACCTATAATGGAAAAAAATCTGAAAAGAATATATATATATATATATATATATATATATATATATATGTGCACTGAATCACTTTGCTATACACCTGAAACTAACACTACATAGTAAATCAACTGCACTTCAATAAAATAAAATTTTTTTAAAAAAAGCTTCCCGTTAGACATCTGTCCCCCCCACTTCCATAAAGTTTTCTACACATAATGTGTCTTCTGAGAAGCAAACGCACACATCTCTCCAGTAACGCCAGAACACCTGGAAGCAAAGGAACATCTCCATTTGAGAGATTACTGACTCTGAATTCGCTACCCATATCGTGTTAATTTTCTTTCTATAAAGCATCTGTAAATTAAACGTCCTCTGAAAGCTCAAGCCACGGACTCACTCCCCCAGCCCTTTCCCCCATTCTGGGCTCCACCTTCCCCCGACACTCCCTTCCCTCCCGCGGCTTCCGGGGTGAACCTGGGCTCGCCATCCTACACTGTCCCGAGAAAGCGCCGCCCCTTCCTCAGGCTCCCGAGACGCTCCGCCGGGTGGCACTTTCGTTCTCGCCCCGGGCTGGACCGAACACAGCGCAAACCTGAGGTCCGAAGCCGCGCTCGGAAGTGGACAGAGTGAGTCAGCCGTTTCCCATGACTAGAGTCAGGTGCAGGGACGCCAGTCAGCACTCGCGGGCCGCGCTGGGGGCAGGGCTGGGGTCCGCAGCCGTCTCTGCCCGGAAGGAGACCTCAGCGGACGACCAGCCCGGACTGAGTGCCTGGTCACCCCCGCCGCCCGCCCCGCCGAGCCGCTGACACGACCCCGCGGCGGCCCCTCCGCGCGGGGGTCAAGCGGCCTCCCGGCGCTGCCTGGGTCACACTCAGACCCGAAGGGCGCCCGCCGGGAGCAGAGCGAGGCCAGGGCTTCTCGTCCCGGCGCCGCGCGGATTCGCGCCGAGGCCGGCCGACAGAACCGCCGGGCGAGTTAAAGAGTCCTCGGCGCTGCCCGCGCGCCCGAGCCTGACGTAGCCCCCGCCGCACTTACTTCTCACTAGCGTCCACAGAGTCCACCTCCACCTCCTCAGCCGCCATGGCCGCCGTCGCCGCGCAAGCTTCCGGCCGTACTTCCAAGCCGGCTAACAGGCCGACTGGGAGGCCGGGACCCGCCGCCGCCCTTAAGGCCACCGCCAGCGTAGGCGTCGGCCGCCCCATCGCGTGACCGGGCGGTGCGGCCGCGCGCCTGCGCGTGCCGGACCATCCTGCCCCCCCCCCACCCCCAATCCACCAGTCACGCATGCGTCCTCCCGTCCGACGCGCTCGGGTGTGGGCGCTAGGCGGGGCAGTCAACCTGGGGGAAACGAGACTCACCCGGCAGAGCTAGGTGGTAACTAACATCAATAATAACCGTATTAATGCATCATCCGCTGATATTGATTGTCAGGTGCTGGGCACTGGACAGGCACCTAGCAGTTCCCTGGGGAATGAGGCGCGACCTTGCCCTGAAAGAGCCCATCTAGTATTCGATAGATGCTAAAATAGCGAATGGAAATGCTGTAATGGAGGAGCTGTGTGGCCTGCCGCCGGCCCTTCCTCGCAGGTGGGTGGCCTAGTGGAGAGGGCGACCTTTAGTCAGTTGATATTCACTGATGTGTGGGACACTACTCCAGACCCTGGAGTTACTGTAGTGACCAAAACCAGCAACTCCTATCCACCCCGCGCTGTGTACACACGGGAGGAGTGTAAAGAGTCAGCATTTAGGTACTTAAGAGTTCTTGAGAGGACATCACTAATGTAAATATCAACACTTCTTGACCTGTTTTCAAGTCTTTTAACCGTCAGATACTACCCGCTTTTGTATTTATATCAGTTCCTGCCATTCATTCATTTGTATTTACCGTCTGCCTACTACGTCCCCACTCTGTTCTAGGCGCTTAGAAACAATGGATTGATGTAGGGCTCGCTCCTTTGCGGAGCCTATGCTAATATATTACCCTTTATTTTATTTTAGTTTTTATTATTATTATTATTATTTTTTGCGGTACGCGGACCTCTCACTGTTGTGGCCTCTCCCGTTGCGGAGCACAGGCTCCGGACGCGCAGGATCAGCGGCCATGGCTCACGGGCCCAGCCGCTCCGTGGCAGGTGGGATCTTCCCGCACCGGGGCTCGAACCCGTGTCCCCTGCATCGGCAGGCGGACTCAACCACTGCGCCACCAGGGAAGCCCTACCCTTTATTTTAGACGCAGTTCATCCCTCTCCTTCCCTAACTCTCCTCACTCTCTGCAGCCTCTTTTTCTCTCCTCTGAGTCCCCCTAACCCAGACAGTTTCTGTCACTCATCTGACACTCAGATTCTCAGCGTCTACTTGTTGTGGCTTTTTAATGGACATTAATCAGTATTCTTCCAACTACACTGGAAGTTCCTTGAGGATAGGGATGGTGTCTTCTGTGACTTAGGGGGGGAAAAAAGCAACTCATAATCCCTTGGACATAGCAATAACTAATAAATATTCTTATTGTATTTGATCCAATTTGTAAGTATGTTAGGGAAGACTAGGACATATGAAAACATTGTTCCAGGAATTCATGGTGTTGCCAGAGACCTGCAGTGTGTCTGCAGAAACTGACTCTCGACTATCTCCACCTATCAGACCATATCCATACTGGGGGCACCTCTTTCTACGTGGGCCAGACAGGTAATTGAGGACTCTACTGCATGGAGTACAGTCCCAGCCCTGTGGTACTGAGTCCAGTATCAAAACCTAAGAATATGGCAGCAACTCCTGCAGCACCTTCAGAAACTTGGACTGGCAAGTATGCACCCTCAAGACTTTGTGGACCTGGAGCCCACTCTCATAGATGCCTATGGCTGCTGCACAGTTTAAAAAAAAAAAAATCATTGATCCAATGCTGGAGTTTATCCAGAAACTGACAGAGCAGTGCATAGGGCTATGGGATTTCATGATCTTCCCCAATTCTGGGGATATCTCTGCCCAGGCTTCACTTTGCTGCTGGTGGAGGAGCTGTCCTTGACTATGGCAAGAAGTCCAAGCTGGTATCACCCAGCCCCTGGGTGCTGCCAGCAGTGGAGGAACCCCTGCTGCTTCACTGTGACTGCCACACCACCCTGGAGTTCCTGAACTGTGTCTTCTTGGGAGACAGTGAGACCAACATCTTTTGATGCAACCTGTACCTGGACAGCTCCTCCTATACCACCCTCAGTCACTGCTCGGCCAGACCTCCATCACTGCCTCCCTGTGCTTTGGTGGTGCCCTGAGAGCACACCTCCCAGAGTTCCAGGCCAACCTGGTGCCCTCTTTCCAAATCCACTTCTTTGTGATGACGAGTACGTCAGTTACTTTGTACCAGTTACTTTGATTAAGCAGTACTTATGTTGGGGGATCACTTGCGCCTACTTTGAACTCTCTCTCTCATCAGATGGTCAGATGTGACACTCATCAAGGCAAATTCATAGCCTGCTCTGCCTGCGCTACCCCAGGGCTGTGGCGTCCAAAGAACTAATGCTGCTATTATACCACCAAGACCATTATACCACGATTATACCAGTGTACCATAGAAGTTGATGACTGGTGCCCCACTGGTGTCAAGATTGGCTTTAATTTCTAGCCCCTCAACAGTCATTCTCCAGGAGAAATGCTGAACACCACCACGGCCGTCAGAGAGGGCTGGGCCTTTATCACAAGTCTGCCAGGCTAGCACTTGCAAACCCGAATGAGGATAAGGGCGTGAAGGGTTTTCTGAGGACTTCGATGGCCTTGCTGCCCTGTAAATGTTGATAAAGTGCTGTGATTAAATGGAGTAAGAAAGCAAGTGTGGCAGGGAAATAATAAGGACATGGGAGAGTAAGGGAGAATGGTAGCTGGATCCAGGGAAGGGCTGGACACCAGTCAGCTGTATGGCCTGGGGAGGTTTGGAATCACACGATTAGGGCTTCTCAGACTCTAACCTGCATCCACACTTCCTGTGGATCTTGTTAAATGGCAAATCACATGATTAGGGCTTCTCAGACTCTAACCTGCATCCACACTTCCTGTGGATCTTGTTAAATGGCAAATCACATGATTAGGGCTTCTCAGACTCTAACCTGCATCCACACTTCCTGTGGATCTTGTTAAATGGCAAATCACATGATTAGGGCTTCTCAGACTCTAACCTGCATCCACACTTCCTGTGGATCTTGTTAAATGGCAAATTCAGCCTCTGTAGGTCTGGGGTGGTGCCTGAGATTCTGTATTTCTCACTGGTTCCCAGTGATGCCTGTGTTCCGGCTGCCAGTCAGCAGACCACCCTTTAGATAACAAAGCTCTTGAGCAGCCCTGTCCACTAGAACTTTCTGCAATCATGGAAATGTTCTAAATCCCCACTTTGCAGTATAGTAGCCATGAGTCACATGTTCTACAGAGCATTTGAAATGTGGCTAGTGTGACCGAATTTTTCATTTTAATTAATTTAAAGCCACATGTGGCTAATACTACCATGTTGGACAGCAAGATCTAGATTTATGAAAATGAGAGTTTGAGACCAGACAATTCCCACGGTCCCATCTGATGTCCTGTGGTTCCAAGATGTTGTTTTCAAAGTGTGTGGAGGGTGAGGATAGGAGTTTGATGAGGGGACGGATGTTAAAGTCTGGAGTAAAGCATGAAGGGTTGGCAGTTCCACCAAATGGAAAATAGTTTGAGAGTTACCTGTTTAAAATGTAGAATATTTTGACTTTTTGTACCTAAGTTGTCAAATTTATTGGCATAAACTCTTTGTAATGTTGCCTAATTATCTTTCTAATGTTGTTAGGCTCTGTAGTGATAGCCTCTTTTCAAACCTGATATTGTTCACTTGCACTTTCTTTTTTTCCCCTGGTCAGTTAGTTAAGAAGTTATCAATTTTATTAGTCTCAAAGAACCAACTTTTGGCAATTTCATGGATTTTGCTTTTTCTACATATGCTCTGGAGAGCTTTCCATATTAGTGCATATAGATTTACCTCATTTTTCTTAATTGCTACCACAGTATTTCATATTATGGGGGTACTGGAATTTATTTAATCATAGGCATTCTCATTAATTTTTCTTTTCTTTTTTTCTATTAGAATACTGAAGGGAACCTCCTTTTACATGCCTCTATATGCACATGAGAAAGGCCAGGACCTTCACCTCGCCTGCTGTTATATAAATGGAATCATACAATGTATAACCTTTTGAGATTGACTTTTTTCCTCTCAGAATAATTCCCTGGAGATTCATTAAAGTTGTCAAGTGAACGAATAGAATAGCTCATTCCTTTTTAGAGCTGAGTAGTTTTCCACAGTTAGTTTAATCAGTCATCTGTTGAAGGACATCTGGGTTGTTTCCAATATTTTTGGATATTACAAATAAAACTGGCATAGACGTTTGTGCACAGGGTTTTGTGTAAACCTAAGTTTTTCATTTTTCTGGGATAACTGCCCAGGACTGTAATTGCCGGTCACATGATAGTTACATATTTAGATTTTTTAAAGAAACCGCCAAATTATTTTCCAGAATGGCTGTACCATTTTCTGTTCCCAACAGCAAAATATAATTGATCTAATTTCTCCATATCCTCACCAACATTTGGTGTTGTCTCTATTTTTTATTTTAGCCATCTTGATAGACCAGTAGTAATGTCCCATTGTGGTTTTAATTTGCATTTCCCTGATGACTAGTGATGCTGAGCCTCATTTTACATGCTTATTTGCCATATGTATGTTCTTTTCAATGAAATGTCTGTTCATGTATGTCTTTTGCCCATTTTCTAACTATTAAGTTTTGAGAATTTTTAATATTCTCTAGCGACTAATCCTTTGTCAGATATGTGGTTTGCAAATATTTTCTCCCATATGCAACTTGTCTTCTTATCCTCTTCACATGGGCTTTTGCAGAGAAAACATTTTTTAATTTAATGAAATCCAATGTATTGATTTGTTTTATGGCCTATGCTTTTTGGTGTTTTCTAAGAATTATTTGCCTAACCTGAGGTCTTGAAGATTTCCTCCTTTGTCTTTTTCTAAAAGTTGTATGGTTTAACATGTTACATTTAAACATTTAAGTCCATGATCCATTTTGAGTTAATATTTGTATAAGGTGAGAGGTT